GGCACGTCAGCGCTGCCAGCGTGGAAACCGCGGCTGGGCGCGGGAGGCGGAAGTAGTGCACGGGCCCGCCGGGCCACCACCGGACTCCGCCGGCCGCCTCAGCCATGGACGCGTCCCTGGAGAAGGTCCGTAGGCGAGGAAGCGGGGCGGCGCTGCGGCCCGCGGCCTCCGCCTCCGGGGCGACTGTTTCCCGGTCGCGAGCTGCCATTGTGACCCGGGGAGGGGGCCGGGGGCTAACGGGCCCTTTCGGAGGAGGCCTGGCCGTGAGAGCTTCCGGCCCAGGCCTGGCCACGTCACGGGTCGGGTGTCTCTCTGGGCCGGGCGGGCCGAGGGAGGCCGGGCCGTGTTCTTTCGGGGCCGCGGGGCCGACCTCGGGCCCTGTCGAGGTTCTGCGGTGGGCCGGCCTGAGCTCGGCTGGCCTTTCGGATGACAAGAGCTAACAGTTTGCAGCTCCAAGAGCGCTTGCAAAAAAAGCCCCAGTTGTTTCGGAGCCAGCTCTAAACATGTAGGTTTTCTGTGGTCTTCAAATTAGGCAGAAAATTGGTAAAGCCGTGGTTTTCCAACTTTAGCGTGCGTAAGAGTCACCTGAGTCCTTGGTAAAAATCCAGATTTTCATCCCTCGAGTCGGAACCTCTGGGGGCAGAACAGTCTGCGTGTTTAACAAGTTCCCCCACGTGATTCTGATGCTGTAGCCTACGAACACGGGCAAGACCTCTGAGATACAGAAAGGGGTGGGTACTTCGCAGATTGCGAACTTAGGTTCGGGAATCGCAGCTGCCCCACTATTTCCTGGCCCCCTCTTTCCAGTGGCGAGGAGAGACCCTTGTGTCAACCCGAAATCCACTGGTAGCAGTGCCTTCCTCTGCTTTCCCCTTGGGGGAACGGCAGCGTGGTGTACCTGGCTGACTTGCTCTGGCGTGTGAAATGGATTCTCATTGTCTCACATTTAGAGCTTGTAAATGAGAACCGGTGCTTGGGTTTCTCCATGGATTCCTGCCTTAAGTACCTGGCATTCTACCCTCTCTCAAAGTTTTTCTCTTTGTTCCAGCTTGGGATTCTGCTTGTCCAGTCCAGTGCAGACCCAGGTTTTCATACATGTGGAATTCGGGAGCAATGCTAGTGTTATAATACTGCTTCATTTTAATTTTGAACTGACGGAAATAACATATTTTGTCTTTTCTCAATGAAGTAGCTGCTCTGGAGTTGGTCACTTGTGGCTGGATTGTTGAAGGCAGTAATCGTGGAGAAGTTGTATGCATGTGCACACGATGGTCTATCCTCCTTGGTTGTTTAGCATAAGTGGGGTGGAAGACAATCAAGAAAAGGAAAGGATAATGTTTTTCTTGCGCCATCTCTGTTGGGAATGTCAAGTGTTTTTTCTGCCTGGAAATAAAGTCTTTCCAGGCTTCTTATTAGCATGATGTCTACCTTCTGGTTGTTTGAGTTTCAGTTTAGATCAGTGGTTCTTAAGAGTGGGGCAATTTTGTTCCCTAGAGGACATTTGGCAACGTCTGAGATTTTTGATTGTCACAACAGGGGCAGGGAGGTGCTCCTAATACCTAGTAGGTGGGGGCCAGGGATGTGCTAAACATCCTACATTGCATAGGGTAGCCCCCATACCAGAGAATTATCTGGCTCAAAGTGTCAGTAATGCTGAGGCTGAGAAACCCTGCTCTAGATCATGTGTGAAGTATCAGTGGTTGAATCATTTTGATGCTTAAAATCTCCTTTCTGTGTTGTTTCCAATTTCATACAGTGGGGGGACTGGGCTTTGTGTCATTTCAATTAAAAACCTAAAAAACTGGCATGATCTTTTCCTCCAAGAACAGTTCTTAGCAAGCTGCAAAACAGAGTGGGTTGGAATCCTGCTTTAAATATTACTTTTTCTGGCATTTGATTAGTAGATAACAGCGGTTGCTCACTAAATGTTAATTGATGATAAAAGATCTTAAACTCTCCAAATGAAGATCTGCAGAGGTACTGAAACTCCAGCGTGCTTAAGGCTGGAGTATTCACAAAAATTGCAGTGATCTTTTAGGAATTCAGAACGTGTAGGCTGGAAGTTTCTGCCTTAAGCCAGTGTGCAAACTCTGAATGTAAGTTTTTCAGAACTAACAGTTTTATTTTTATATTCCCTGAATAACAGAGGACCTTACATGTAATGAACAATTTCTTTTGGTGCTAAGTGGGCAGAAAAGAAAAAGCATTACTATAATATGAATGTTGATGACTTTGTGTTCTGAAAAATAATTTAAATCAAAATGAAACATTGAATTGTTCCCTCTATTCCTGTTTCTTTGAGAAATAGACTAATCTGGGTTAATTCTGTATTGCTAATATAAATTCGAGAGCTATTTGAGCTGTTCTGAATGATCCCATTTAAACTGATCCTTGCGTAATTCATACTGGCTACAGAAACCACAATGTTATTTGATACTCATCCTCTAAAATTTCGAGTAATATCTCTCACTCTAAAATGTAGTATGCTATTATCATTTAGTAGAATCACTCCGTACATTTCCTTTGGTCCAAATATAATTCTCCACCCTTGCTTTTTCTTTAGGTAATAAATACATAAACGTGCAGACCTGCAGTGACAGAGCCATTTTCTTGTCTTGATTTGCTTTTTTTTTTTTTTACAACAGTATCAGTTTTCTTATATTTGAAGTTAGTGATGACTCAAGAAACCAGGTAGGTTAATTAAGGGGGCCAGGAATTCAAATTAAGAGAGTAGGAGTAGGGACTCTTCCCCTTTCCCCAGTACTATATGACTGACATAAGGACAGACCCTGTAGCATAGTCTGACAGTGTTTATTTATGTTAATATTCAAGTAAAAAAAAAATGCCACAGGAAGTAATTACTCTGGTGACGATCTTAGTAGATTATTCAACACATATACACTTTTCAGTAAGAACTTGCTACTTTAAACTTATAGAAGAGCCGGTGTCTTTTCCTGTTGCTTGAAAACTTTCATTCTTCCTGGTTATTATGTTTAGACAAGATGTACTGCAATTTTAGTTACATCCTTGAGCAAACCTAGCGTGGAGATTATGAACCTCAGCACTACTGACATTTGGGGCCAGATAATTCTCTGTTGTCGGGGGCTGTCTTGTCCATTGTAGCATGTTCAGCAGCATCTCTGGCCTCCACCCACTAGATGCTAGTAGCACCTCTCTCCCCAGCTGTGACAACTAAAAATGTCTCCAGATGGGGGCAATTGTCCCCTAGGGGTCGGGTGAATTGCCTCTTGTTGAAAATCACTAAGAGAGGCCCGGTGGCGCACTGGAGAGTGCGCTGCTTGGGAGCACGGTGGCGCTCCCGCCGAGGGTTCGGATCCCATGTGGAGACCGGTTCCCGCTCACTGGCTGAGCGCGGTGCGGGCGCAACACCGAGGGTTGCGATCCCGTTGCCGGTCGGTAAAAAAGACAAAAAGAAAAAAAAAAAAAAAGAAAATCACTAAGAGGATCTAGAGATGCACTGTCTAGTTCCGTAGCTACTAGCCACATTTGGCAATTTAAATTTAGATTAATTTAAGTAAAATTTGAAATTCATTTGCTCACTCCTACTAGCCACCTTTCAAGTACTCAACAGCTGCATGTGGACTGTGATTCCCATACCAGGCAGCACAGATATGGAACATTTCTATCACCAAAGTAAGTTCTACTGGACAGCACCAAAGACCTGGGCAATTTAATTACTTATTATACCTAATTCTTGTCTCTGAAAGTAGCAACTTTAACCATTCCTGACCTAAATAATGATGACTCAGCTCGTTTTTGGCTCTTGTACGCATCTTAAGTTTTGTGTTTTTGGTTGGGTTTTTTTTTTTTTTTTTCCTCTTTGGGCCTGATTTTGGACAATTCTTTATCACCTTACTGTTATGCTAGAATTTGATAAGGAGCAGTAGGAGCAGCATGAATGGAACATTCCTGATCATTGCTTACTGATCAAGACTGCTAGAATTTCTGTTCCTGCTCCTTACTTAAAAATATGGGTAAAGAACCCCTATTAGGCAAGCTAAAAATGAGCAACTTCTGTATATGCCTTTGTAGGTTCTACTCTTTTATATCGAGTGGGAGGACTTCTGTGAGGACATGATAGGCTGTAATTTTAACATTCATTTAAAGCTGATCCCTGCATCATCCTAATGTGAGGGTTTTGCATACAGGTAGGTGGTGGCTGTGGTGGTAAATGATTATCTAATGCTGGGTGTCAGAGAAAACTAATGAGATTTAGCCATGGTACAAAGTTCCTGATCCTAAAAATTTGTGGCCTTAGTGATTCTTGATTTATTCAAGATTACAGAGGTAGTCAGTAGCAGAGCTGTTGGCTTTTCCCAGTCCCGTATGTGTTCCACTATATCTAGGATTGTGAGTTATAGGTAGGAGTTGCTTGAGCTTCATGTCATCTCTTGTTGCCTACTGCAGAAACCTGTTTTGATTTATAATTTTTATTAGTCAAAGCTCAACTATGTTCAAAGCCCCGTGCTGAATGCTGAAGGAGACACAAGGTGAATAAGACATGATCTCTCCAGGTACATTCTAGCAAGGGGCATACATTTTTTAGATAAATCCTGGAGCAAGTGACCAGGAAAGATTTTGTGGAAGAGATTCTTAAGTAGAATATTTAGCTCAGAATTATGCTTTTCCAGAATCTGTTTTAATTGTAAATGTAATGTAGATTTTTCCTTTATGATATGATTAGGCCTCATGATAGTACTGGTAGAATATAAATCAAGAGACAGCAAAGCCATTTCATCTTTTGATGTTAAATCAGATATAAAAAAGAACCAATGCCTCCAGATACCTTGAAAATGTCCAAAAATTCCTTTCAGAAATTTGATTTATCTAGCTGAAACTAAATCTATTTAAGTAGTAGTCAAGGCCATAAAATTATTTCAGAATTGTTTTTTGTTGTTTAATTACTATTACAATAGTTTTTTGCTTTGCTGCAAATGTTAAGTGTGCAGCCACCTTACAGTTAGGTAGTCCCTAGCCTTCAGCCCTATTATTTTTAATTTCTGTGGAAAATTCATTCTTGAGTTTCAAATGACTGAGGGAGAAGTAAACTTTTCTAATACAACTTTTTTCCTACTGCAGAAAAGCAGAAACAGCAAAATAAAGC